AAAATACCTCATTATTAATAAATAATCAGGGCTGAATATCAGCTCAGAGATGCCAGAAGACACTGGTGGACATTTCTGCATTAAAAACCGAATCCTGACGGTGATATTAATAGAAATGCTGCAGCGCTTTCCTCTGGAGGATATTATTATTATTATTAGTCCTTCAGTAAATATCTGATGTCCTGATTACATGCTGCTGCTGCTCTGCGTGTGACATGTTGACAGAAATAAACCTCCTCTGCTGGAGAGTTTTAATAATATGGATCCACTCGCTCAACTGCCGCCGTCAAAATAAAAGCCTGACGTGACGCCTGACAAAACATGTGGAGCAGGAAGGAAAGCGCAGCTCGTAATCAGGTCACAGAAGCTTCTGTCTCATAACGACGAGATCGGTTCTCGTGATTAGCTGCCAGATAAGGTCTCCAGTTGTTTTCAGTGTTCTTAAGTCTGTAAAGCAGGAAGTTAATTCAGCTGTTCTTTCACATTAAAAGGATTTAGAAGAATCCAGCTGCAGATGGGGAACATATTATTATTAATTATGTTTTATTAGTGTCATAAAAAAAGAAATAAAAGAAACATTTCTGGCAGCAAACAGTTCCCATAAAGTTCAGATTTTTCTTTTTTAATCATGTAGTTGAATTTAAGCAGAAAACGTCTCTTAAATGGAATAAAATCATTGAAATGCAACATAAATACATTGAAAGTGCACCATTTAAATGCTGCTTTCATTTCAATAACAGCATAATTATGTTATTTCGTAGAATTATTTAATCCATCTAAAATATACGCCTGATAATGTACAGAGTTCTATTTTTAAAAAAATAAAGAAAATTGAAATTAACATTAATTTTACTGTCTTTTAAATCTTCTTTTATGTTTTTTCACGTATTATTTTCATTACAGTTTTAATATAGACGTTATTTACAGTTTTTTTTTTACAGTTAACGTGTAAATTTGAATTTTTTACTCGATATCTGTCATTAAAAAAACAGGAAAAATCTAATAAATAACCGTACATTTATCATTTTTCAATCACTGACATATCTACATATTTATTTATATAACAGTAAATACAGGTAAAATAATACTTTTTCTATTTAAATACAGAAAAAACATCATTTAGAACAATATAGATTTTTTATTTTTATTTTTTCCCGTCACCATGTTGATGTAAACTTTTTTTCTGTGACTTTTTTCGCTCTAATATGCAAATAAACTGGTGGAAAGATTTAAGGCGCCATCACGCTACCAAACAGCACAAACGCTGCAGCATCAATAAATATGAATCTGCTCTGTTTATGTTGTTCTTTCAATAATACATTCAGGAAAACGCAGCGAGGCGCTGCTCGCTGCTAAAGGTCAACGTTCTGGCAAAGCGCCTGCTGGAAGGTTGATTGTGGAGGAGAGGCTGTAATTAAACGGGCCGATTAAAACGCCACGGCGGCGACACGAGTTGGATCTTTGTAGAAATATTTAGTTATTCAAAAGGTCGATCTCCTGCATGCCAGTGTTTCATGTGCAACACAATAAACTGCCAAAAAGTGAGTCAGAGATGGAGTTTGGTTTCAGCCGCTCAGGCCGATTGATGCTAACGCGGTTTGCCTCCTCGGATGTCGATCTGCTGAACAGCACAGACGTACCGAGGATCCGTGAGCACAGAACTTCTGGCTTGTTTTTCCCTCAAACTGCTGCACATCAATCGAGATTAAAACTAAGCCCGAGTTCAGAACATCTACCTGCTACAAGTGAAATCCTCCCCCTCCAAGATTACACTCTTTATTTTTCATAGTGGCACGCATCAAATAAAATATTTTATCAAACCCAGCAGCATTATCTGCCAGTGCTGCAAGATAATTCGACTAAAACCGCCATGAAATGAGCTCCCTAAGCCCGGATAGCAGATAAGATCACCTGCCGAGCTTGCACTTTGCCTCAAAGTTATTTTGTTCAACGCGCTGCTTATTGGATGATTCCCGCAAAAAAAAAAAAGGATGCAGGAAAGTCTGCAGAGTTCACTGAGAGCGTTGTGAGCTACGATATTAAACCGGCGCCGCTCAGTCATCTGTCCCCGGACAAAGAGGAGGTGATTGAATCAACAGAGGGAGCGGCTCTGTTTGTTTACAGGATTTGCTGAAAACACATTCGGAGCATCTTCTGCTGCAGCAGCAGCAGCGACTCTGAGGTTTTCTGAAGCAACAGAGCAGATTCTGCTTGGATTTGACCCGACAGCCCTCCGGGGCACGAAGCGACCTCTCCAGCCGCCGCATCACGGATTCAAAAGACGCAGGACAAAAGGAAAAAGGCTGCACCTCTCACTCAATGTGCATCCACCAGCCTTCCACGTCCGTGCACCACATAATGCTCAACATGGAGCACGTGAAGATCTCTGAGTTACACCTGAGACTTCATCATCCTCCTGAAGACAGAGCACAGATGGTCCTGCACATGTTGGTTATTTAATGCGGCTGTAATGATTTTATGCAGGATGTAACGTCTCATATCAAGCTAGCAGCAGAAGCTTTCATTTGTGGTTGTACAGCTGTGTTGTCGTCCTTTTTCTACAGTTTTTCGATGCAAACTTAAACATAACGTCTTCGGAGCTTTCGCAAAATTTTTAGCAGCTTTGCATCAAAAATTTGACTAAAAGAGGCTCACAAGTGCATTGACAGAAAGGGGTCGATAGCAGGTGGCGGACATCTGCTCATTCTTGTATTTCTGATTTCGAGGGGAAACCGACGAATTAGAATAAATTGTTGGTGCTTCTTTCTTCTGGTTGGATGTTTAAAGATATGTTACTGCTGTGGAAATGTCCTCAGTGTGAACATCGGCTGTTTTTTTTAAACAATTTTAGCACCAATTGTTGAAACCACTGATGCATCCAATGCTGTAGTTTAGAGAAACACTTTATCTTTAGACTCCACCAAGGTACAGTTTGTGGTTAAAGAATAGCCTGAAAAACACTACGAACGGAGAATTGTTGCTTTTAAATCAGGATTTTTGTTTGGATTTTTACAAACATACGATTGATGAGCTTTCAAAGGCAGGATTTGTGACCTTTGAATAAAACCGGGCGAGCTGTTTCCACTCTTTAACTGTTAGATGACTGTAGAGTACGGTAGGTATGTAGTGAAGTTTGAAGTGAATTTAAAGGCTAAAATCGTAACTGGTAGTTTAGTTGATGTTGTGTTGGGATGCTGGTCTCTGGATTTGGTTTATTTAATGAACAATATGAAGTGTTTGTCAATCATTTTAATTTGGAATTATAAAAATGGAAAACTGAAATTATTGTTGATGGATTAATTGATTAGTATGGGTTTGTGTTTTTATTTTTAAGGTTTTCAACTAACAAACACTCAACCTGATTCCTTTTTGAAAAGAATAAATAAAGATGGAAAATGAGTGGAGCTGACCAGCGTCCTCTGTTGGCCTCAATGAGTCCAGTTTAGGCAGACAATTAAAGCTCAGAACCCAAACAACTCGACATTAACCCTCGAAATCCCAAAACAGAGTTTCCAGAGCAGCGAGGAATGCCCAGACCTGTACATCGAAGAGACTAAACAACCGCTCCACAAGCACATGGCTCAGCACAGAAGAGCAGCTCCTCAGGACAGGACTCAGCAGTCCACCTGCATCTCAAGGACAAGGGACACTCACTGGAAGACAACAACGTACAGATTTTGGCCTGCAGGGAGGACAGATGGTTTGAGAGAGGAATGAAAGAAGCCATCTAACTGGAAAGACCATCCCTCTACAGAGGTGGAGGTCTGAGGCATCACCTCTCACCTGTTTACAATTCAGTTCTAAGATCTCTAACCAGGAAGATGAAACCGCCTTCACACCTAGCCACAAAGACCCTAACAAACCTCCTTGTGGCAGGAGGAGCCCTAACGACTCACATAACGAGGGGAGGAGTAACAACCCCCAATTGAAACTCAGGTGTTCGTGGCTCCTTAAGGATATAAGTATGTGGATCTCCCAACTAGTCAGTCAGACCTGATGAAGCCTCTTCGATGAGAGGTGGAACGTCTTCAAGGAACTCAAGCAAGTCCAGTTGCTACGATTAATCTACCAGAATACATTCAGCATGATGAAACATCTTCTGGTGCGAAAAACGCTGAATTTTCAGAGGTTAGAAGTTTTAAAATATCAAAAGTACGTACAGCAACCTTTCTTTTCTAATATTGTTAATACTCTGGGCACATGGAAAGTAGCTTTACATGCTAATTCCAGGTATTTTCAATTTTTGTCAAATAAATAATCTTTAGTCGTGGTTGTTCTGTTTCCGTAGAGCTGCGGGATTTTATATTGCAGTGAAAAATGAGCCTACAGTGAAGAAAAGTGCTTCTTGGTCATAGACTGTATAAAAGATGGACGTAGCAACCGGCCCTGAAAATGAAGCCAACCTGGAAGTGTCAAAAACCTGCAATATCACTACGTCCACTAGCTGCTGGCTCCAAAAAGCCCTGGCTCCCATAGACTTGAACTGGAAAAGAAGTGATCACAGATCATGAAATACTGCATTCCTACAGCTCAGGATTTTTTTCTTATTAGTTTTCATGGTCAAATCCAGAGATCAGGTGGCCAATCTGAAAATAAATCAATACTGAATTTTTAAAAAATCGTCAACATTTTGCGGGGCAAGGGGCGTGGCTGGCTTGATTGACAGTCGGCTGCAACCATACAGACGAAGCGAGCAGAAGGTGGTAAATGTGGGCGGGCAGAGAGGGCCCGCCTCTCAATCCGTCTGACCAATCGCTGCTCCTATGGCTCCGCCCCCCTCCGACAATTTTTGCGTCACTGGCTCCAAAAATCCAAGATGTCAACCAGGAAGTAGCAAAACCCTGGCTTCATTTTCTCAGTGCAGAAACCAACGGGTGACGTCACGGCAGCTACGTCCATCTTTTATACAGTCTATGTTCTCGGTGTATGGTGCATGTAATTTTAGTCGACAAACTGACTCCTCCAGCCACCAGCGTGATATGAACCGACGTGGGACTGACCTATGAGGCTGTCGGGTCGGGGCAGAGCGCTCCTCTGGTACAGCCCATACGGATCGGCTCCGTAGGCCAGCGGCTGGCTCTGTCTGGGCAGCGTGGATCCGTAGTGCTGTGGCACTGCCGTCATCCCCGAACGCAGCGGCGACCCCGTCAAGCCCCGCCCCTCGATCAGGGAGAGGGTGGAGCCTAACCGGCCACCGCCTCCGAGCCCGCCCCCTCCTCCACCTCCGCCACCACCGCCCAGGGCCTGGGTGCCATCAGTCGGGGAGGTCGGCGACGGGCAGGAGGGTGGCATGGTGGTGCCGGGGAACACAGCAGCCAGCGGTTTGGGCTCGGACAGGATGGGAGAGTCATAGGTGCTGCCTTGGGACGTCCGCAGGGAGATTCGGGAAGGTGAGACGGTGCCGGCGGTGCCACAGCCGGGAGACTGGCTCCTGGAGGGGAGGGACGCCATCCGCCGCAACACCCGGCTGGACGGCTGGGAACGGGAAGGAAAAACAGGTTTAGTGCTCCAGATCCTGAAAACGTGACATTCCATCTGTCTGATAATGAGGTGTCTGGTTTTATTACACCTTCCTGGAATGCCCTTTGAGTTCCACAGCTCATTAAAAAAAGTACTTTTGAAAGGCTTGGTATCTTTAAAAAACTGCCAATATTACACCATTTACTTCAACGGTTTCTAAACCATTTATCTGTGACCTGCTTTCCTTTCAAAAAACTCAACTAAAGACTAAAGACTAAAAACGTAACAGGTCACCAAAGCTAGTTTGTTCTACGTGTCTTAGTTAAAGGATTGCCATAAACAAACCATGTGCATGAACCAAATTCTTCAACCGTGGAGTTATTAGTTGTCAAACATTCAGAGCTATCGGCTGAACTGCAGGCTGTGTTTACACAAAGCAGACAGGAAATAAATCAGAGCGACTAAGAGGAACATAGAACCTACTGGGTCAATAAAACAAATGCAGCATGGCTCAAAAATAGTGAACAGAGGAGCACGACGTTAAACGATACAGTCAGCATGGTGAAACATCTCTGTCGTGTGAAAAACGCTGAATTTGTCGACAAGTGTGGGATGCTGAGAAAACGTTGCACATCCATCCATCCATCCAT